ATTCGTAATCAATGACCCTGAAAACCCCCGAGTAATAGGTTTTTAATACAATCCGATTAATTTTTTATTTTGTCTTCCGCCATATTGGATCCGCCATTTTGGACTTTGAAAAACTGATGTCAGATTCGTAATCAGCGACCCCGAAAACCCCTGGGTAACATGGTTTAGACGAATTTGCCCATTTTTAGTTATTTTGATTCGGTATATTGGATCCGCCATTTTGAATTTTAAAAAACTGATATTGAATTCGTAATCAAGTCTTGCATTTTTTTCAATTCTTTAAATCATAATAATATTAAAATGTTAATAAATTAAATTAATCTATTAATTTTATTAAACAAAATTATTTTTAATTTTAAGTGTGGTTTGTTTACATACTAGACAATAAGTTGTTGATAATACAAAAAGAAATACATGAAAATAAACAGTATAGGATGAAAACAGAAATTCGTGGAAATAATATAATATAATATAATATAATATAATATAATATAATATAATATAATATAATATAATATAATATAATATAATATAATATAATATAATATAATATAATATAATATAATATAATATAATATAATATAATATAATATAATATAATATAATATAATATAATATAATATAATATAATATAATATAATATAATATAATATAATATAATATAATATAATATAATATAATATAATATAATATAATATAATATAATATAATATAATATAATATAATATAATATAATATAATATAATATAATATAATATAATATAATATAATATAATATAATATAATATAATATAATATAATATAATATAATATAATATAATATAATATAATATAATATAATATAATATAATATAATATAATATAATATAATATAATATAATATAATATAATATAATATAATATAATATAATATAATATAATATAATATAATATAATATAATATAATATAATATAATATAATATAATATAATATAATATAATATAATATAATATAATATAATATAAATTTAATAATTTACATTTGATATATATTCAATCTATATCTATTTTATTTTAATTTTATTTCTTGAAATGTTATTGAAGGATTAATAAACTGTCAAGATGTTGATCAACAAGTTTCATTGTATGCGACACGAAATTCATAATTATTTTTGTATTGTGTCGTGTAGTTTAGCCCCACGATACGATTCTCAAATTGTTAATGTGTCTAGTCGCGCCACGATACTTTTAAGAATTTCGTAAACGTGTCCAGTCCTGCCACGATACGATTACAAATTTCTAAACGTATCGTGCTTCGCCACGATACAATTATGAATTTCTTAACTGTGTCGGGTCGTGCCACGATACGTTTGAAAATTTTTAAAAGTGTCGGGTCTCGCCACGATACTTTTAATTGTTTTCAAACGTGTCGAGTCGCGACACTACACGGACACGACACAAATATTTCGAGACAGTCCCTGCTTCTAAGGACCCTTTCTTCAGAGCGCGTTACATTTTTGGGTAAATAAATCAAAATTCAATTGATTAAACCAAAAATTTGGTTTGTTTCAAAAAGATTAATTTTTGAAATATAAAATTTGAAAAAAATTCTGGTTACCAAAAAATGGTCCTATAGGGTTGATGCCATTTTTTTTCCCCAAATAGTAAATCCGTCCCTGTATATAGTCTTTTTACACAGACCGTTATCGCTTCTTGTTGAAAACTGACGCATATCTTCAAGTCTTAAGTTTATGGCGCATTTTTTTTTTTTTTGCTACCAGTCGTTAAAAGCGCAGAGGATGTTTTGTAATTTCGTGCCTTTTCTGTTCTACAACTTTCAGATTTTATATTTCTCTTTTTTTTTTTATAAAGTTCAAGACTCTTGTATACACTAAAATTAAAAACAAAAAAAATTCTTTCAAATCTTCTGTGTTCGTTTAATGTATCAGTACTAGTATTTAAATTTTTATTACATTTTTTTAACAAAATTTAGATTTTTTGAAAAAAAAAATTGTGTAAAAAAAATTTTACGAAGGAAATTGTTCAAAATTAATGGTTTATTGATAGAAAGATATATTATTAAAATTCCTTTTATTTCGTCTATTATACCTATATATATATAGTTTGGTTATTTCAATAAGCAAAACTGTCATTAGTGTCCTCTCTGCGTAGAATATAATTATTTTCTAAGAAATTTTGCTGACTTGAAGAGAGCAAGCGAGCGGAAGTGAAGGCCGCAGCCGCAACGGAAGTGGTTGAGACTTTGCGAAACGATTTCGCGGGAAAGTAACGGCTCGATACAAATCGTCATGTATATATACTCTGCATTGGTATTCAAATCTCCTCGCACATATATACACTTATTCATATTTACATTTACCATTTGCCTTTTACAATTTAACACATCCTACATACTCTCGTATAAGTGAATATCATATATAGATAATGATTTCCTAGAATCACCATATGATATATAATTGGATGTTTCTAAAGCAATATTTTACACCTCCGTTTGTCATTCTGGTAAACAGGAAACCAGTAGCTTTTTGATAGTGTGAAAATTTGTATTTTGAGAATCTTTTTTTTCTACTATATCCCAATAGGGTAATTCCATTTTATTTCACCTATAGTCGTTGCAGCCTATTTTTAGAAAAATTTGATATTTCGTATTAACGACTTTTAATATCCGTACAATTCATTTCTATTTTGACAATTATTTTATGAACACAGTTTTCCTAAAAGTATCAAATTGAGACCAAAAATTGCATCAAATCTTTGCAACGTTTTGATGCACATAAGTTACATCAAAAAGAGATCGTTTTGTGTATAATTTTTAGAAATGATACACGAAACGGTCTCATTTTTTGATGCAAAAAATTTAATCAATTTATATCAATCATGGCCGAATTGAATCGACTCAAAATTAAACGAATTTTTTTCAGATATTTTGGTAATAGTACAATTGCACATCGAATTGCACATTGTCTTTGATTTTCTGTTATTTTCATTTTCAAATTAAATAGTGAAATGGTCTCCGCAATTGTACTATTACCAAAATATCTGAAAAAAATTCGTTTAATTTTGAGTCGATTCAATTCGGCCATGATTGATATAAATTGATTAAATTTTTTGCATCAAAAAATGAGACCGTTTCGTGTATCATTTCTAAAAATGATACACAAAACGATCTCTTTTTGATATAACTTATTTGGATCAAAACGTTGCAATAGAAAAAGATACAACCAAGTTTACTGTGAAATTTTTTTTTTATTTAAGTTGAAATTTAGTTTTTAAGTTGAGTTTCAGGGAAAATAGGTTAGTTTGACAGCTTTGGAATTTTTATAAAAAAGAACAGAAAACTAAATTATTTCTGTTCTTTTTTATAAAATTTCCAAAGCTATCAAACTAACCTATTTTCCATGAAACTCAACTTAAAAACTAAATTTCAACGTCAATAAAAAAAAATTTCATAAAATAATTGTCAAAAATGAATTGTACGGATATTAAAAGTCGTTAATACGAAATATTAAATTTTTCTAAAATTAGGCCGCAACGACTATAGGTGAAATAAAATGGAATAACCCTCAAGCAAAAATTTACAACCGGCGCAATGTTGCGCCAGTACTGTCAATTACTGGCAAAGTACTGACCGCCAATATTGAACCAATACTGGCATATGTTTGGGATGATAACGTTTATTAGTACTGGTCATTAGTAATAGCTTAGTACTGGCGTTCAGTACTGCTTCAATACTGGAATTTAGTAGTAATTCTATATTTTGCCAGTACGGGCAAAATTATAGTAACCAGTAATAAGCCAGCACTGCACTGGTACTCTCTAAATCTGAATCAATAGAAATTTTACTAATTCAATCAGTACTTTTCATTTTAACTGAAGTTTCAGTTATATTTTAAAATTTACTAATATAATTAGTGAATATGCAAGCAATAGAAAATAACTTATGTAAATCAGTAATTTGTATATAACATAACCTTTAAAATTAACTATTAAATCAGTAGATTTTGTGGCCGCCGCCATATATTTATATTACTGATTCAATCAGTAATTGATATTTTACTAATTGAATCAGTAAATTTCTACTAATTGTCAGTTGCTCAATTCTCGCTAATGGCAATTAGTAGATTTCTACTGCTAATCAGTAAAATATGACTGATTCAGATTTAGAGAGTAGATATTCAAAATTCAGGGTTCTTTTTGCTTTTTACATTAATTGAGCAGCTGGATCGAAGAACCGACTCATACCATTAACTATTAATAATAATAAATTATTAGAATAACTTTTAAATTGTTATTTTTTTATATTAACATTTTACTCTTTATTTTATTATTCAAATAATTTCTTCAATTATTATAAAATATATATATTTATTTTTATTTCTTTAAATTAGCGAAATTGAATGAAATTATTGGTTAAAATAGAGTTTATTTGATTCAAATATATTTTTTCAGTGCGTAAGAAAAATAATTTGAGAATTTCATTAATTATGTATTTTTTTTATTAAAAAGTTTTAATATTAAATTTAAATTTCATAATTCCGTTAACGAACGCATTGCAGTAATCGAAAAGAAGTATTAAAATAATTTTTTAAAAAATTTGTATGTAAATTTAATTTCTAATCAACAAAAATACACAATTTTCACGTCTATGAAGTTGGCGTCGACGCTCAACGTCGAAAATTATTTTTCACGGGTCCAAAAATAACAAAATTATTTTTACAAAAAGTTTTGGGTTCACATAATACCTTAAGAAGTATTTCCTAAGGTATTACATATATTTAGACCGAAAATCTATTTAAAAAAAAATAAATTTGACATTTTTGGTCCTGTGAAAAAATAATTTTCGGCGCTGAGCGTCAACGCTAACTTCATGGAGGTAAATTTTAATAATTTTTTTTTACAGAAATAAATAATAAAATAATAATAAAATAATAAATAATAATAATAAATAATCTGACAGAAATTTTTGCTTGGATATTTAATATATAAATTAAATTTTTCAGTTTCTCTTCAAGACGAGAGATCCAATTGTTGCGGGAGTGATGGTGGAAGCTGGGATTCTTAAACCGGGAACTCCTGTTTGTGTACCCAGCAAAGAAGTGAGTATTGTTAATTTTTATTTATTTTTTTTTATTATAATTATCGTTTATGCCTATAAATTTGTCTCTCGTCAATTTAAATACAAGAGTCGATGATCGTGTGGTACGAAATTTCTCGCGCTTAACACACTTTATTTATATGTACACCACATGGCGAGCATTCCTCTACGTTCTTTAAGGAGCGTCGACCCAGACGTAACCACCTACACAATTCGATTGCCAAGACTTATTATCGACGATTTCATATGACGAAAGAGGAGAGAGAGATTGGACCCGATAAACCTCGTTTCCTTATGCGTGAATCTTTAATTTCTTTTTTGAATTCCACTTTTGTTTCATGTTGACTTTTATTTTAATTTCGGGTCGTATGAATCTAAAAATCTAAACGAAAAATCAGTTAGAATTTTCATTTTTTTAGAATTTCAATTGATAATTATTTTTGAGCCGAATTTTTATTCGAATTATTGTTTTGCGTAATTTTTATTTCACCGATTTTCTGTGTTAGGGAATTTTTATATATTCAAAAATTCATTTTAGAGAATTGTTTATATAAATATTTGGCAGAAACATTTCGGCGCTAATTTTAAAATTAACCAATCAAAATTTTCTGGGTTATTATACTGATTGGTTAAAATTTTAAAATTCGCGCCTAAAAATATTTGACGAAAGTTAATTGGAAGGAATAAAAATTCTGTAAAGTGAATTTTTGGTTTCATAAAAATTCATTAAAATAGAAAATCGGTTTAATAAAAATTCTGCAAAATAATGATTCATACAAATAAAAATTCGGTTCAAAAATAATTATACCAAATGAAATTTTATAAAATGAAAATTCTAACTAATGATTTTTAAGACTTATTCATGTGTCTCTATAAATTTTGATACATTTCTGAATTTCTTCTTCCGTAACTGATATTCAAAATTAATTTTCAAAATTTGTCGAGGAGAAATTCGAAGACACTATATATTTGGTATAAAGTATATAAATCATATTTACTCCATATTATTTCAACGAGAATTTTTTTTCGCGACGACAGGGAGCTTAATAAACGTAAATAAGTCGACTTAAGTAAAACAAAAAAAAAAGAAAAAAAAATCCTTTGGGTGTCGAGTGTAGGTGAACCTGTTCAATGTCCACTGCAATTCAATTGGTCGATCTCTCTGTGGACAGACTTCTCGTAGGAGTTTCAGGTTTTTCTTCACCTTACGCGCAGTATATTCACGCATTATTTCAAACCACCATAACTGTCTCGTAGGCGTCAACGTTTTGCTAAAATTTCCAATAAACATCTCCGATGTATGTCAATTTAAAAAAAATTATATACCAGTATTTTGTTCTTCATATTTTTCTATCAAAACTTTTTATATTTAACACGGAAAAAAAGAAATTGCTTACAGATGTTAATTAATGTTTGCTATTGAATCTATCAAAATTAGTATAACCACCGCTAAATTTTTTGCTATGACAATAAAAAAAAAAATTTACTGTGATAAACAATATCTTAATTTTGAAAAATTTACTGTCACAGCAAACTTTTTTGACGCCACAGCAAATTTGTTCGTTGTCGAATTATTTGCTGTCACATCAAATTACGTTAGATAATATTAGGGACAGCGAACAAACTTGCTGTGAGGTTTAAAAAAGTTTGCTGTGACAGTTAATTTTTAAAATTTAAGATATTGTTTATCACAGTAAATTTTTTTAGTTATAACATATCATATGCTAACTGATGTTTGATATTGGATCTATCAAAATTAGTAACCACAGCTAAATTTTTTGCTATGACAATAAAAAAAAATTTACTGTGACAAACAATATCTTAATTTTTAAAAATTTACTGTCACAGCAAACTTTTTTGACGCCAGAGCAAATTTGTTCGCTGTCCCTATATTAGTTAACGTAATTTGATGTGACAGCAAATATTTCGCTGCTACAGCAAACTTTTTCTATACGTCTAATATAGGGATAGCGAACCAAATTTTCTGTGGGGTTAAAAAAGTTTGCTGTGAAAGTAAATTTTTAAAAATTACGATTTTGTTTATCACAGTAAATTTTTTTTCGTTGTCATAGCAAAAAAATTAGCTGTGGTTACTAATTTTGATAGATCCAATATCAAACATCAGTTAGCATCTGATATGTTATAACAAAAAAAATTCACTGTCATAAACAATATCTTAAATTTTAAAAATTAACTGTCACAGCAAACTTTCTGACTCCACAGCGAATTTGTTCGCTGTCCCTATATTTGCTAACGTAATTTGATATCTAAGCGTGTTGTTTTTTTTTTTGCACTGTTTTGTGACTTTTTGCAAAATTTTCCTATACGCATAGAAAAAATTTGCTGTGGCAGCGAATTATTTGCTGTCACATCAAATTACGTTAGATAATATTAGGGACAGCGAACAAACTTGCTGTGAGGTTTAAAAAAGTCTGCTGTTACAGTTAATTTTTAAAATTTAAGATATTGTTTATCACAGTAAATTTTTTTTAGTTATAAAATATCAGATGCTAACTGATGTTTGATATTAGATCTATCAAAATTAGTAACCACAGCTAAATTTTTTGCTATGACAACAAAACAAATTTACTGTGATAAACAATATCTTAATTTTGAAAAATTTACTGTCACAGCAAACTTTTTTGACGCCACAGCAAATTTGTTCGCTGTCCCTATGTTAGTTAACGTAATTTGATGTGACAGCAAATATTTCGTTGCTACAGCAAACTTTTTCTATACCTGTAATATAGGGATAGCGAACCAAATTTTCTGTGGGGTTAAAAAAGTTTGCTGTGAAAGTAAATTTTTAAAAATTACGATATTGTTTATCACAGTAAATTTTTTTTCGTTGTCATAGCAAAAAATTTAGCTGTGGTTACTGATTTTCATAGATTCGATAGCAAACAGCATTAGTATAAGTAATTACTTTTACTACGTGCATTTTTTAAAAAAAAGTAGAGAAAGAATTATTCTTTAAAATTTATTATCATAATAAATCCCAAAAAAAAAACTGATACGTGTTTTTACGTTCTAAACGATCGTAATTGATTTTGAAAAAAATAAAATCATGAACCATACTGATGATGAGAAAGGGAATTTCGAAAAAGGAAGTCGATATCCTTTCATGGATATAATATATATCCCGTTAGTACTTTTCCTTAAGTTCGTTATCTGGATCCGAGAATAACTCACTCGAAACCCATTGACTCGAGAACGATGACTACGACTACTACGACGACGACGACGACGACGATGACTACGACGAGAGCGGTAGCAAGAGAGCCACTCAATGAGACCAAAACCCTCGAAATCCCATTCATACCGGAATCTGTCGACCGCTTTTATTTGTCGGCTACATCCGCTCGACCTCGTACGATTGGATCAATCGCTCGACAAGGACGAGCCTCCAATCAGAAACGATATACGTACGTAGGAGTTGACGATAATAACAGAGATTTAGTCCAACTGATATAGGAAAGAGAGAGAGAGCGAGAGAGAGAATCCGATATATATAATACACAAATTACGCACGTCTCTTCTTTTATGTAATAAATATTTCAATTTTAGATTCCTAGAGCAATTTTTACATTTCTTTCATTAAAATCGCTAAATTGTAAATTAGGAATTAACAAATTGAAATTTAATGATTTTATCTTTTTTTGGATAACATTTTTTTAATCTTCGTTTTTGTCGACGAAGTTTCTATGTAGGAACTATCTAGTTTCTAGATGCTCAAACTATGTAGAAACTATTTAGTTTCTAAATACTTAAATTGTGTAAATACTATCTAGTTCATAGATAGTTAAACTGTGTAGGAACTATCTAATTTATAAATACTTTAACTATGTAGGAACTATCTAGATTTTAGATGCTCGAACTATGTAGAAACTATATAGTTTCTAAATACTTAAATTGTGTAAATACTATCTAGTTCATAGATAGTTAAACTGTGTAGAAACATCTAGTTTATAAATACATTAACTATGTAGAAACTATCTAGTTTCTAGATGCTCGAACTATGTAGAAACTATATAGTTTCTAAATACTTAAACTATGTAGATACTATCTAGTTCCTCGATAGTTGAACTGTGTAGGAACCATCTAGTTTATAAATACTTTAACTATGTAGGAACTATCTAGATTTTAGATGCTCGAACTATGTAGAAACTATATAGTTTCTAAATACTTAAACTATGTAGATACTGTCTACTTCCTCGATAGTTAAACTGTGTAGGAACTATCTAGTTTTTAAATGCTCGAACTGTGTAGAAACTATCTAGTTTATAAATACTTTTACTATGTAGAAACTATCTAATTTCTAAATTATTTAGAAGGGTCATGACTAGCTAGTTTCTAAATATTTAAACTATGTAGGAACTATCTAATTTATATTTACTTGAACTAGGTAGAAACTATCTTGTTCCTAGATACGTGAACTGTGTAGGAACTATCTAGTTTTTAAATGCTCAAACTGTGTTAAAACTATCTAGTTTATAAATACTTTAACTATGTAGAAACTATCTAATTTCTAAATTATTTAGAAGGGTTATGACTAGCTAGTTTCTAAATAGTTGAACTATGTAGGAACTATCTAGTTTATATCTACTTGAACTAGGTACAAACTATCTTGTTCCTAGATACGTGAACTGTGTAGGAACTATCTAGTTTTTAAATGCTCAAACTGTGTAGAAACTATCTAGTTTTTAAATACTTAAACTATGTAGAAACTATCTTATTTTCAGATACTTGAGTTATATGAAATCTATATAGTTCCTAGATACTTGAACTATGTAGGAAATATCTGGCTTCTTGGCACTTGATTTATAAGGAAACTATCTAATTTCTGCATTATTTAGAAGGGTTATTACTAGCTAGTTTCTAAATATTTGAACTATGTAGGAACTATCTAGTTTATATCTACTTGAACTAGGTAGAAACTATCTAGATACGTAATCTGTGTAGGAACTATCTAGTTTTTAGATACTTGAACTATATGGAAAC